TTACTCCACAGATACTACTATGCTCGTTCTCGACTGCTGCTCTGGAGATACTACTGTCATATCAGTTCAGTGTAGACTTCAACTCAAAGAGACGCAGTGTGAGTCGAGGTGTGAAGTACTTGTCTCATTGGAGGACGGGCCACCAGGCTCGGTGTAGTCTCAATTTATTGTGTGATAAGCATTAGTTATCGGTATCATTACTATATTTCTATCATTATTCTACTCTTACTTTCAAAAACTTGTATTATATATTATATATTTTTTATTTTATAAAAGATTCAAGCGTCATGCATTTTGATCTTGGTACTAGCAGGTCTATAATTACATGATTTTATTTTATAAATGATAATAATATAATAGCTGCTTCTTTGCTTGACAAAGCACTCTTTCTTGTGACTACTTCTTGTCGTCCTATTGAATCATACAACATGAGAATAAGGTGGGTGAATTATATAAAATGCATGTTGCTACGTTTATGACTTACCTGTCTGGTTTTATCATCAACCATGGCTCATAGTCGTTTTGTAAGTGTATCTAAGAAAGCCTGACTCCTGAAGAAACTGTCAGAAAAGAGAAAAGTCGAGCAACGCTTGGAGCGTTGTTCATGAAAATAAAAACGGTAGTGCCCAGACCCAACGGACCATGAACGGAACAACCACAATAAAAACAGAAACAGCGATACCGTTTAATCACTGTTCAACGTAAACGGAACGCAAAGTTTTTGTTGTCTTCTACTGTACATAAAACGTTATAACAGCCTAGCTTGGATGTGAATTTAATTATGCATATCAAAGGTACAAGCCAAATGTGCATGGTCAGTATAGGCACTGAAAGGTAAAGGTCAGGTCAAAAGAAATTAAAGAGAAAGAGAACACAGAAAGCCAAAAAATTGAAAAGGTTGAAACTAGTTGATCCAAATCCAATGTGGAAAAGGAGCAGGCTATAACTACATTTGTACATGTATATAAAAAGTCGTGGCAGCAATTTCTTTTGGGAGTAAATCCTACTTAGTACCACTACCGCATTACTAATATGTCCAAGACTTACATGTACACTATCAGATTATACATGTACATGCACACTACAGTGTATACTTGTACAAGTGTACATGCATGTACATGTATCAAATGAAAATAAACACTAAAATAATTGAACTGACCTTTACTATCAGACAAAGGATGAATGTCTCCATTTGCAATGTTTTTTACTTGGCAATGCTCACGTAACAACAATTGAAGTGAACTACACATGTATAAGTAAAAAAGTACATTAAAAGCTAAAGTGACTGGACATGCAACCATTAACAATAACATACATGTATGCAAGAATAGGCCACTTAATTAATACTACACAAATGTACATCAGTACATGTACATTCTTTTAGTAGAAATAGATGTCATTAATTTATGTACAAAACTATAATGCCATTTCAGAGTCAATTTACTATGGAGTACAATGGAAAAAGTACATGTACATGTAATTATTATACATGTATGTATATGTAATAATAGAACCTAACGCAAGCAAACTCTGAAAATCTGCATTCATGCAAATTTGCTTTGCTCAAATTTAATCTGAATATAATTTTTTCAATCTTGAAAACATTATTAAGCTCCCCAAATGCACTTTACATGTAGCACTCTAAGGGAAATGTACAAGTCCATTTACTTCAAGTCTCAAGACATAAAACACAAATTTGATCCTTGGCAAACCTGTAAAGTGAACTTGTTGATGTAGTTGTTTGCATAATACTTCTAATTAATGACACACCTTCAAACACCTGCATAAAATGTATTATTGAACAGATTAAAATTAGTGCAAATTACACATGTACATATACATGGATTGCACATTGTGTATGATATACCATCTATCTGGAAATTTTACTGTGATTTTAATTTTACTAGATTTCCTGATCTACGGTATCTGAAAGTTTATTGATTTTATAAGGAAAAGTGCATACCAAATTATAAAGATCAGATAAAATCAATTCATATGAAAGTAAGAATGGCCTAGGGTGCAAAGTACATGTACATTGAACTTCTATGCCAAAAAATTAACTTCGCCACTCTTAATTCCCAAGCACTATTGTATACATCATAAAACCACATTTAATATAGCAGTACTCATCACTTTCTATTCAATATGCAAATACTTAAGAATACAGCATACATGTGTATACATGCACTGCACATACAAAAGCATACAGGTCCAGTAAATGTACATGTAAGGCAAACATAGCCAAATTTATGAAGTGAATAACAATCAAAGCCAAAAGAGACTTAGTAAATAAAAAAATTATGATACAACTCACTGGAACTATTGAAGTTTCTTTCAACCCAATATCAATGAGCAAAGCTGATGAACTTCCCAAACTGAACAAACAAGCTGATGGATGAGGTAAAAAACAAACATGGGGGACCTAACAATAAAACATAAAACATCATTGTGAGTAAATTATTACACATGTACTGTACCTACAGAAAAATGAATAAATAGAGCCTTTGCTAATGTGTTTCTGAAATTTAATGGTGACACAATGGATTCAATAATGACAATCCTATACTCTCGAGGGTTAATAATCAGGTATCTAGAAAGGATAACGATAACTAAAATCACAATTTCAAACAATTACAGAATCAAATCATTCCACATTAAATGATCACTCTTTCCACTACAATGCACATGTACATGTACATGTACATCTTCAACAAAATTTGCATTTCATTTCATTTTACATGTACATAATTACAATTTTATAGACTATCAGACTCAATTAAATTAAAATACTGCCTACTTGAAAATTTTTGCAGGACCTATTTTTTGAGAAATTCTAATTCAGAAAAATTAAAATTATTGCCACATCACAGTCTTATTGCACAAAATTAAATGTAAATCAAAGCACAATTTAAAAACAAAAAATTTTCTACTGCATTAATTTGTTGATTTATAGTAATCAAACTTTTTGTCGGGTACCAAATTTAATGGGGACTAATTTTCACTATTTTTGTGTCAACACTAATTTATGAAAATTTAACCCAACAAAATTCTTTATTTCAACACATCTTAATGGCTTTAAAAAGGAAATGTGAAATTAAAACACAGTGAATTTAATATTTCCCAAAAATTGTGAAAATTTAACATCGCAAGTATTAAAGGGCAACCGACACGAAAAATTGGGTTCTGATTAAAAATCAAAAATATTTTCATTATGGTGTAGAATGGCTTGCAAAAATACTTTTGGTGCAAAATAATTGCTCTTTCCTGGAGAAAAACTGCTTTTAAAATGCATAATTTACTTCCTCA